TTAGAGACATTATCTTAATACCTGGATTAGATTTCTCTCTTACACCCCCCCTCCCCCCATTTTACATTTATCCAAAAGACTAGCTTTAGGAGACATTATTCACCTGCTTTGGAATTTCCCTGGTTTCTCTTCCCTGGCTGTATGGAAGTCCAAAGATATTTCAGCATCAATTCCAATACCAAAATAATTGTTCATTACAAATATTGAGGTTGTGTCCTCATACTGATCTTTGGTTTCTTGTTCCTTCTCGTTTGGATGGAAGATCACAGTCCATCTGTAAAGAATGTAAGTAGAAATCTCTGACAAGTCTGAAATAATGTAATATCATATAGGGCTGAAGTTTACATTTTTATATCAAGTCTAATTTAAACAGATAGAAAATGTAGAATCAGCCAAAGAACCACAAATCTCTATCTGAATCACTCATATCTATGTAAATAAATGTAAACCTCTTTAATATTGTGTATGAGGTGTAAGAATTCAGCACTCTTAATTTACAGTATTTTGAGTCTTGCTTGAATTAAAAATCTAGCCCCAGGGACCAAATTTGAATCCATCTGCTGAAATGCAAGTCAGGCATGTTTGTTGCAATCATTCATGAATTAACATTATCAGCATTTATATATTAATAAGTAAATTGTTAGTCAGATCAAACTCACCAATCGCTTAAATCTGTACTGTCATTTAGTACACATGCAGCTTATTTTACAAAACGATCATATTATTTACCTGTCTAATTTAATTTCCTCAGCATCTATTACATCCCTCAGTAAATTTAATGGATCCTCCCCTCCTGTGTAACCTGGTCCCCATCTTAAAACTCGAGCCAAGTCATTACCTAGAAACGAGTACAAAGAATACTGATGCTTATCCTTTAGCCAATCAACATTAATATCAAAGAAAAAACACCACCACTGGTTATAAATTTGTTTGGAATTATGAAACAGAGGAATTATTTTTCCATGGTATAATTTTATTGCTAACCTGTACCCAATGGCACAATGGCCAAAGGAGGTGACTGGCACACTGCATCCTGTCCAACGTTATCCAGGCAGGATAACACCCATCCCACAGTCCCATCTCCACCACAGGCGAGAATTTTATAGTGTGCTACATGTCTGAACACATAGAGGCCTGGCAGAGGACCCCCATTTTCCAGGTTAAACACCTGGTGGGGGTTGAGTAATTTGCGGAAGGAAGTGATGAGCTCTGAGCCCTGGCAGCCCCCACTCTTTGCATTGACAAACACTAGTAGAGGACTGACATTTTCTAAGATCATGTGGGACTGAAAGAAAGAAAGCAAAATCATATGCTTAGTTAAATTATGATCAAAATATTGTCAAAGTACAATTCAAACACGAGAGGCCCATGGGCTACAATGCTCACCTGAGTCACTATGAACATGCTGTTCTTTTTCCCTACATATTCCTATGTTAAACTTTGATCATATGTTGTCGCCCAATCCTACCCCTGGGGTCATGATTTGATCAAACTTGAATTTATACCACCTGAGGATGCTTCCATATAAATATGACCAATCATGGCTTTGCTACTCTTGAGAAAGAGTTTTTCAAAGATTTTTCCTAATAAATATCTATGTAAAACTTTGATCAGATATTGTGGCCTACCCTACCCATGGTGGTCATTGGAACAAACTTGAATCTACACTATGTTATGATGTTTTTTTTTTACATAAGTTTCATCTTTTTTGGCCCAGTGGTTCTTGAGAATAAGAATTTTGAAAGATGCTAATAAATTTTCACCAATTTTTTATTATCTCCCCTTGAAAGAGGGCTTTGCCCCTCATTTGAACAAACTTGAATCCTATTCACACAAGGATACTTTGATGATGTTTTGTGACAAGATTGGTTCTTGAGAAGAAGTCAAAAGTGTAAAAAGTTTACAGACAGATGCCAGATAAAACGTGATCAGAAAATCTCACTTGAGCTTTTAGCTCAGGTGAGCTTTAACAAATTTTTACTTTTAAATCCTTTATAATTTTGTTTTCCTTAATGCATTTTTACATATGAACACATCCAATATGAGAAAATAATTTGGACATAAACTGACATTTGTATATTCAGACTGTATTTCTGATGAAACAAACATTCATTCATACATAATAAAGGTCCCATAAGTTAAATAACATTCATTTTTATTTGTATGTATTTAATATGTCAAACACAATGTTTATGCACTTTAAAAAATGTGTTTATCTAACTGAACTTTTCTGACTATAAAAACAAGAGGCCCATGGGCCACAACGCTCACCTGAGTCAATATGGCCCTGCTGTTCTTTGTCAGCAGATTTCTTCTTCTATATATTCATATGTAAAGCTTTGATCAACTGTTCTAGGCATAACCTATCCCCAGTTGCCATGTTTTGAATGAAATTGAATCTAAACTTTCTGAGGATGCTTCTATATTCATATAACTAATTATGGTTTTGCTGTTCTTGAAACGGAATTTTAAAGATGTCTGCCATCCTACCCTGGGGGGTAGGAAGGGAGGGGGGATTCAAGATTTGAACAAACTTGAATCTACACTACCTAAGGATGCTTCCATATCAATATGACTAATTATGGCTTTGTTGTTCTTGAGAAGATTTTTAAAGATATTTCTTATATATATTCTTTTGTTAAACTTTGATCCCCCATTATGGCCCCACCCTACTACTGGAGGATGCCTTGAACAAACTTGAATCTACAATACTTGGGGATGCTTCAATATCAAAATGATTAATCACGGCTTTCCTGTTCTTGAAAAGATTTTAAAAGATTTTTCCTATTTATTCCTATGTAAAACTTTGATCCCCCCATTGTGGCCCCACCTACCCCCAGGGGTCATGATTTGGACAAACTTGAATCTACACTACCTGAGGATGATTTCATATCAATATGACTAATTGTGGCTTTGTTGTTCTTGAGAAGAAGATTTTTAAAGAATTTTCCTATGTATTCCTATGTAAAACTTTGATCCCCCATTGTGGCCCCACCCTACCCCCGGGGGTCATGATTTGAACAAACTTAAATCTACACTACCTGAGGATGATTCCATATCAATATGACTAATTGTGGCTTTGTTGTTCTTGAGAAGAAGATTTTTAAAGAATTTTCCTATATATTCCTTTGTAAAACTTTGATCCCCCATAGTGGCCCCACCCTACCCCCGGGGGTCATGATTTGAACAAACTTAAATCTACACTATCTGAGGATGCTACCATATAAATATGACCAATCATGGCTTTGTTATTCTTGAGAAGAAGATTTTTAAAGAATTTTCCTATATACTTTATAAAACTTTGATCCCCCATAGTGGCCCCACCCTACCCCCGGGGGTCATGATTTGAACAAACTTGAATCTACACTATGTAATGAAGGTTTCCCATAAGTTTCAACTTTTCTGGCCCAATGGTTCTTGAGTAGAAGATTTTTAAAAGAAGACACCAAATTTTCACTTATTCTTAATTATCTCCCCTTGGAAGAGGGCATGGCCCTTCATTTGAACAAACTTGAACCCCCTTCACCCAAGGATGCTTTGTGGCAAGTTTGGTTGAAAATGGCCCAGTGGTTCTGGAGAAGAAGTTGAAAATGTGAAAAGTTTACAGACGGACAGACGGACTACGGACAAAATGTGATCAGAAAAGCTCACTTGAGCTTTCAGCTCAGGTGAGCTAAAAATACAGTAATGATGAAATATAATAAATTCTATGACAATATTAATTACAGCTTGATATCACCCTATTATCCTTCAATAAATGTTAACTTTAAATATTTAATGTCTTCACTTGAAAATAAGATGTACTTAAAGGAATATCTACTCTTTCCCCAGCCAAATTTATTCCACTTACCTGAATATTGGGTAAAAGCAATGCTAATATTGGTTTCTGGTCATATGTACTGTTACTCAAAATGTTGAATGCATTAGTGGCATGTTCTGCAGAGTTGTATATTACCACTAATGACCCATATTCATAGTATATCACATCAAAGTAGGACCATTTGTTTTCTAAAACAAAACATTAATATACTGTCAGTATCTCAGCATTCTAAAAACTTGTTGTACCAATTAATAGTCTACATTAAAAGTTCACTATCATGATATGGAGAGTATGGAGCTTTCTGTGTGGAGCTTTCATGAACTAAATACAAGAGTACATGTACTTTTATTATGTGTAAAAATGTATATCATTTATATTGTACATAAAACATGCTTATAGCAAAAAGATAAATTGATGCTTCTAATGAAGTGATTTTCATTCCCTGCGGCTTTAAAATATATTGTGAATTATGTTTCTAACGAATCAAAATCATTCGTCCCTGGCACTTCATTATAAACGTGATTTAATTTACTATCATATCATGATTTTAATCAAAAATAAAAGTCAGACAGTAAAAACACTTCAGGATGAAGTCTAATCATTTTTTTTAAATCATCAAGTCACTCATGTTCACAAAATATCAAGTTACAGAAGGTTTGTGAAAACAAAATTTCCTCTGATTAATTTTGACAGGTGAAATTTTCATATCATGTGATAACCAAAAACCACTGATTCAACCTCTTCAAGGTCAAATGATGCATGGTTTCAGTAAAACAAGGTGTCAGTAAAACTTTAGTACTCCTCAACAAAATGTATTAGGGACTCATAATTTTTTTGATTTGGTGACAAGACTCCATCCAAAAAAAGCAAAAATACCTAAGCAGTAGGAGATGGTTATGAATATGAATTTGTGGGTATAGGCACTCATTTGGGTTTTAAAGTGAACTCAAAAGTTCATTCATTTGAAAACCTACCTGTACCAATATAGACTAATAAATTTCAAATACTAATCATGCTTATGGCATTGCTATAAGCACTCCTGTTTTTAAGTATAAGCATACAAAAATTTCCATGTTTTATATACTACAAAAAAGCACCGACCAGGAGTTATAAAGTCTAGTAGTAGTTTTTCATATTGTCGTTGAGCCAGGCCTGTGGGGAGATTTCCAACAAAGAGTGAGATGCTGGGTCCATGTGGGTCTTCTTTCTGCTTCAGGTAGAAACGAGTCATCCTGTTCTGTTGTAATGAGTCCTAAAAACAACCAATATTTACAGTGGTGAGTAATAAGACTTTAAACAACCAACATTTACAGTGGTCAGTAATGAGTCCTAAAAACAACCAACATTTACAGTGTTCAGAAATGACTCCTAAAACAACCAACATTTACAATGTTCAGAAATGACTCCTAAAACAACCAACATTTACAGTGTTCAGAAATGACTCCTAAACAAACCAACATTTACAGGGGTCAGTAATGAGTCCTAACAATAGTCCCAGGGGCCACATCGCTCACCTGAGCACTGGGGGGGGGGGGGGGGTCATGAATTGAACAAATTTGAATCTACATTATCTGAGGATGCTTCCATTTAAATATGACCAATCATGGCTTTGCTGTTCTTGAGTAGAATATTTTTAAAGATTTAACCTATGTATTCCTATGTAAAACTTTGATCGCCCATTGTGGCCCCACCCGACCCCCGGGGATCATGGTTTGAACAAACTTGAATCTACACTACCTGAGGATGCTTCCATGTAAATATGACCAATCATGGCTTTGCTGTTCTTGTGAAGAAGATTTTTAAAGATTTTTCCTATATATTCCTATGTAAAACTTTGATTGCCCATTGTGGCCCCACCCGACCCCCAGGGGTCATGATTTGAATAAACTTGAATCTACACTATCTGAGGATGCTACCATATAAATATGACCAATCATGGCTTTGCTGTTCTTGAGTAGAAGATTTTTAAAGATTTAACCTATGTATTCCTATGTAAAACTGATCGCCCATTGTGGCCCCACCCGACCCCCGGGGGTCATGATTTGAACAAACTTGAATCTACACTACCTGAGGATGCTTCCATGTAAATATGACCAATCATGGCTTTGCTGTTCTTGAGAAGAAGATTTTTAAAGATTTTTCCTATATATTCCTATGTAAAACTTTGATCGCCCATTGTGGCCCCACCCGACCCCCAGGGGTCATGCTTTGAATAAACTTGAATCTACACTATCTGAGGATGCTACCATATAAATATGACCAATCATGGCTTTGCTGTTCTTGAGAAGAAGATTTTTAAAGATTTTTCCTATATATTCCTATGTAAAACTTTGATCGCCCATTGTGGCCCCACCCGACCCCCGGAGGTCATGATTTGAACAAACTTGAATCTACACTATCTGAGGATGCTACCATATAAATATGACCAATCATGGCTTTGCTGTTCTTGAGTAGAAGATTTTTAAAGATTTTTCCTATACATTTCTATGTAAACTTTGATCATCCATTGTGGCCCCACCCTACCCCCGGGGGTCATGATTTGAACAAACTTGAATCTACACTATCTGAGGATGCTACCATATAAATATGACCAATCATGGCTTTGCTGTTCTTGAGTAGAAGATTTTTAAAGATTTTTCCTATACATTTCTATGTAAACTTTGATCATCCATTGTGGCCCCACCCTACCCCCGGGGGTCATGATTTGAACAAACTTGAATCTACACTACCTGAGGATGCTTCCACATAAGTTTCATATTTTCAAGCACAGTGGTTCTTGAGAAGATTTTTTAATGATGCCATTAATTTTTCACGAATTCTTAATTATCTCCCCTTGGAAGAAGGCGTGGCCCTTCATTTGAACAAACTTGAATCCCCTTTACTCAAGGATACTTTGTGGCAAGTTTGGTTGAAATTGGCCCAGTGGTTCTTGAGAAGAAGATGAAAATGTGAAAAGTTTACAACAACGACGACAACGACTACAACGACAGACAACGGACAAATTTTGATCAGAAAAGCTCACTTGAGCCTTTGGCTCAGGTGAGCTAAAAACAACATTTACAGTGGTCAATAATGAGTCCTAAAAACAACATTTACAGTGGTCAATAATGAGTCCTAAAAACAACCAACATTTACAGTGTTCAGAAATGACTCCTAAAACAACCAACATTTACAGTGGTCAGTCCTAATGATAATATACACAGCCTAGCCTATAAAAATGATCTTCAGTTGTCTTCAATAGGCCCATAGGCCTTTATAGTCATATGAATATTATGAGTTTCCCAGGCAATGACCACATTATCCTCATCTGTAATTGGAACTCTGCCCTCATGTATTTTCATATTCATACAGTTTGACTACTAGAAATTCACAAGTAAAGAGAAGGTACCCTGAATATATGAGCAACTTAGCCCAACCCTTTGTCCTAAACAATGCACCAAGGGCCATGAATTTGGGGTGGAGGGCTAAAAGTGTTAATTATCATCGTGCAACAGTTTGTCTGCTAAAGGTACCTGAGTGACTCAGGTGACCTAAAAATGGAATTATTTAAGGATTCACTCTCTAGTTTGTTGGGCATGCCAGGGCATCAGCAAAGTTGGAAAGGTGGGATAATTTGCATAACAGGTGAAGCCCGTTATACAAAAATTAGCCCACATTTCCAACTGTCGTTGATGACCCTGGCATACACAACAAAGTAGACAGTGATTCCTTATATTTACATTTATATGTGAAATAAAAATTAAATATATTGATGTCAAACATAAAGACAGCCGCGAGAGATTGACATGCATATTAGGCACTTAATCTTTCACTTTTTTTTTTTACTAAATTTACATTTAGTTGTAAATATTGAGAAATCAACACACTTAATTTTAAAAGAGTAATCACAGAGAAAAAGTTAGAAATGTAAATATTCTGTATTGATGACAATATTATTGTCTAACAGAAGATGGAGATGAATGCAAGCAAGTTTCCTACATCATACAGGGGTCATTCCTTCTTAACTGATGCATTAGAATCACACACTAGCGATATTCTCGGAGCATTACCTTTCTACTCCTCTGTAGAATCTGCCAAGGTCTTGCATCAATGGGAAGGACCTGCTCATTGACTCCTTTATCCAGGACAACCTCTATCAAATTAAACGTCTCAGGGTCCACATCCTGGAATGTTCAAGGTTAGAATTTCATTACAATTGGAATGTGTATAGAATCATTTATCAGGAGTCAATCTGATCTACCTTTTTATGAATTACCAAAATTCCTTCCAAATTGCAAAACTAAATTCATCCTTACTGAAATAGTGCATAAAACCCTACAGGAACCTACTGAGAAAAAACAACTGAGTTATTGTTTTCTAGATGAAATCAGCACAACTGGGCCTTGAACAACTATTTGTCAGTATGATTTTTGACAAGTATTGAGCAACAGTTTCTTTCTTGAAATGCAGAGATTTTGTGACAAATTGCTACAAAAATTTTATAACATTAATGTTTATTTAGTCATGCTATGATGTCCTATGATCCATTCCATACTTAAAATGTGTTCTATTTTCAGTCAGATTTAAAGGATAGATGTCAAATTTTACTCTAATCTAGTCTCTGATGCCAAACTTTAAATTAAACTTGAATCTTCATTACATATAGATGACTGCATCTTATTATGACTGATTGTGGCCTTGCATTGAAACACAGTATTTTGCGATTCCAACATATTACTGTAAACAATCAGTAAGAAACCTAATAAGTGATTTATGTTCTTGAAGACCATAATCTGAGATACATTTAGTCATATACACAAGAACTGATGATCCCAATATCGAGAAGGTTAGACATCGGCCATATTGCTGGATATAAAATCTCACATATATATAAAAATAAATAAAGCCAGCAATCATGTCACACTTAAACCAGTGAAAGTATGAACATTTCGGTCTGTGGGAAAATAAAATTACACATCGATATTCAGTAAAACGCCAAAGGGCCTAGAATCGCTCTTCTGATAAATTGCACAACAGTGTCTCTGTAACCTACTTCTGAATTGTCAAATCTTGAGGCACCAAAATGTATCAACTGACAAGGTTTGATGATTTTAAGTTTCTTTGCATATGAAATATATAGCTAACAAGATGTGTTTGTGAAACACTATGCCCCCGATGGTAACACAATTCTGGAGTGGGACGTAGACTACAGTGCAATAGTTATGGCCAATGTTAAAGTTTTTCAAATGTAGGTCAAAGGTCACAGTTGAGGTCACATGATCAAAAATTTCTGTACCAATGGAAAGGTCTTGTCATAATGAACACTCATGTCAAATATTAAAGTCTTACCCATGGCAGCGCAATAGTTATGGGCTAGGTTAAAGTTGACAACAGACACACAAACAGACAGACAGGACAAAAGCAATATACCCCCGGGATCTTTCAATCCGGGGGCATAATAAAAATGTTTTCAAAATGAATAGCTGTAAAATACAGAAAGTAGGTTACTGTGACCTACTTTTTGTTTAACACACTATAAGGCCTCAAGATACATCAGCTGACAAGGTTTGAGGATCCTAGGCTTCACAGTTTCGAAGGTATGCATCTTATTAATAAACAGTTTGAAAATGACTAGCAGCAAAAGAATGAGTGCACTTAACATGATACATCCTATTTGGGGTCTATTTTGCAATTCCTCTATCAAGCTGTAAATGAAGTGAATCCAATCTATTTTACATGCATAACAAGTCTGACATATTCATGATTACATTGGTAAAACATTTGAACAAAGGTAATGCCTTGGTATCATGAATCAAAATTGAAGCAACAATGTATCACTGTCCCATCTGGAATTTGACATCTTCCCAGAGTGGTTTTTAGGTCACCTGATCAATATTAATAGGAGGCAGGGCTATAGATCAGCATCATGTCGGCATTTAAACACCCCACCCCCACCTCCTCTATCTAGAAATATGTTAATTTACAAGTACATTGATGTCACTATGATATTGTGAGGACACACAAAACTATAACAACAGATTTGCTCAATTCTGCAAATGGCACACCAACCAATCACACTCTCAGACCTGAATTAGATCAAGGTCAAGTTTTAGAACAATTGTATTCACAAGTATGCTCGCAGCTGGACACCACATGATGAAATGTAATACATGTATTCAACAGCTTAATGAAAGTCAAGATTATCAAAGCCATTACAATGGATGTGACAAGTTTGTTTTGAATATGTTTTTTGTAAAATTAAGTATGAGCTCACATTTGTTGGCTCACCTTCTAATATGACATTATTTTGTTCAACATAAAACTACAGCTGTTTTTAAGAACAACTGAAAAACATGCACTGACTATGTATTTAGACGTTTAAAAAAGGCATGACCTTGATTATCTAATGATATTCAAGAAATCTACGGGTCCCATGCCTTAGATTTTCATTTGGTTTTCCTTAAAAGAGTGTTTTAAATTCATATATGTATCGTGAATATACAGTCAAGATATCGGTGATTCATATTATGGAAAGAAATACACATTTTATAAAGATTCAATTTATGGCTTTTTCAGGACTCTCAAGTCCACTTATTCTTCAAAAAGTAGGACACTACGACCTACTTATGGGTCAGTATATTTCAAAGTATTAAGATGCATCAACTGACTAGGTTTTATGATTCTAGGCCTCTTAGTATCAAAGAACTAAAGACTTGATAATGAATAATGATAAAATTCAAAAGTAGGTCAACATATCCAAAAACACTTAGATGCATCAATTGGCAAGGTTTGATGATCCTAGGCCTCATAGTATCAAAGATATAAAGATTTAACAATGAATAATGATTAAATGCAAAAAACCCCCCCAAAAGAACATAACCTCAGGTGGCCATGCTAAGATGCATCAACTGACGTGGTTTGATGATCCTAGGCCTCTTAGTGTCTAAACCTTGAGACTTAATACTATATATGTAATGATAAAATTTTAAAAAATAGGTCACTGTAACCTACTTTTTAATTGACATATTTGGGGTCCTATGATGAAACAACTGACAAGGTTTGTTGACCCTGCAAATCATAGTGTTCAAAATATTATAAGTTCAAAGAAATTAAGTAACCTGTCAATTTCAGAAAGTAGATCATTGTGACCTACTATTTGGTTGACATCTGGTGACCTCAAGGTGCATCAATTGACAGGTTGATTGTGAAATGAAATACCCATAAATTCAGACAGTATTTTACTGTGACCGCCTGTGAACACTCAGAAGCCATCAGATGCATCAACTGACAAAGTTTGATGATTCTACACTTCACAATGTCCAAGATATATGCTTCGTTAACAATTTGAAAGAAGTGGGTCATCACAACTTACTTTCAGGTAAACATATCCTTGGGTCCAAAGATACACTGACATGATTTTAATGATTCTAGTGATCATATTGGCAAAATATCAAAGTTTTCACAAAATACAATTTTAGGTCAATTTTGAAGTGATCTTGAGAGCAGAAACCATACCCTTTGCCCTAGGGGGATTCCTTGAACAGTTTTAAATCTACAATACATCCTCATCCTTATGTTTAAGTTTGGTGTTAATCTGCTCAATGCTTCTTGAGAAGATTTCTTAACGACCACTACATTTTTTTCATACTTCCCTAATTATCTCCCCTTGTTTTGGTGGCCATTTTATTTTTAGTACAAATGAAACCCTTGGCCCAAGGCATCTTCGCTAGCCAAGGGTTTCTGATACGCTACTCTCCTCATAAACCCTTGGCATATGGTGCTGACAAAAGACAGGATTGTTTTCATCACGTGATCACGATTCTTACCAGGTATGCACAGATTGCATCATCGACAGAAATAAAAAGCGTATTTAAAAAAATAATGTTTTTAAAGAATAATTAACAAGAAGGTATTGAGTTATGTTGATTTGTTATTTAAACATGCTAAAATGCAAATCTACATCTTCAGTATAGATTCTATATCACATATTTTGCACGTAGCTTAAGATATTGGATGACACTATATAGCTATTCACAGGATGGCATGTTACCTTGTTTACTTGCATTTTTCATTCCCGATATTAAAGAATCAAGCTATATCCCAAAAGCAAATATTGTCATTTACAAAAAACAATTGCTGATTGGTTGAACGATGTCGATCAACTCCAATCACAACTTGAGAAAAAAATCCTGTCTTTCGTCAGCACCGTATGGCGTATGCCAAGGGTTTATGAGGGGAGTAGCGTATCAGAAACTTTTGGCTAGCGAAGACGGGCCCAAGGATACTCAGTAACAGATTTCATAAAATATGGACATGGGATTCTTGAGATTGGCCCACATTCAAAAGGGTAAATGCACACCACACCCCAAGCTGTAGCATATGCTTTTTGAGCCTACAGCTCAGAAGAGCTAAAAATTTTATTTAATATATAGTACTGTGGCTTTTTCATTTCACATAAAATTCTTCAATTTATTTAATGCAATATTACCCTCAAAACAATCTAGTAACATAAAGTAAAAACATTTTAAATATTTGCACCTACTTTTGATACATATTTATTTTCAATGCCTTGTGATTTATGTTTTAAAATTGTCTTACCTCTACACCAAATTTCTGAAGAGCTTCACGTATAACATCAACACAAGTCATATCGGAATCAATTTCTATATTTTTGTAACTTCCTGATACCCTGCAAATAAAATTAATTCAGAAAGATTTATATACATGTGCATGTTCTTTCATAAATTCACTGGGGATAGTAAAGCCTTTAGGGAGTTTTATAACTAAATCTTTAATACATGTATGCTGAATGGATCCTATTTTACATGTATAACCTTGGCTTTCGATCCTTTCAAAAAAAATGCCAAGACAATAAAAGACAAGTAAATTCAGAGGTTTGCGGTCCCCAGATTTCAAGGTCTTATTGGATGGGATGCAATGATGTATGGAATACTGTAACTGTCTTGTTTGTCCATCATAAAAAAAAGTTTATATTTTTGGAAGTGCAGAAGTTATGCCCAAGATTAAAGAATTTGAAAATTCAATTTCAAAGTCTAAGTCATGAGGTCAAAAATCATAGTATATTCGGAAACATCTTATCACAGTTAATGCATATGTGGGGAAAAAATAAAGCCCTGTGTCTTCTGGTGCAAACGATAAAGCCAAGTTAATTTTTTTGTAAAGAAGATCTAACTTCAATGTCAAAGTCATGAGGTCAAAATTCATAATACACTCAGAAAGATCAGATAATGCACATGAAAAAATATGAAAGCCTGTCTCTTGAGGTGCAAAAGCTATGATCAGGGTTAACATTTTTGAAAAGTACATTTAACTTCAAGGTTTAAGTCATGAAGTAATAATATTATAGCATTCAGAAAGATCTTGTCACAATTAATGCACATATGAAATATGAAAGTCAAATCTTCTCACTTTCAAAAGTTATTTACAAAGTTAAAATTTAAGAAAAGTACATCAAACTTTAAGGTCAAGGTCATGAGGTCAAAAATCATAAAATATTTTAAAAGGTCTTGCCACAGGTAATGCATATGTGAAATTTGTATCTTTTCTCATTCAAGAACTAATGACAAAGGTTAAAGTTTTTGAGACAGACTGACGGACAGACAGATAAATGAGATTTAAAAGCTGGGGACAATAAAATTATACATTATAAAAGCATTTGCTGAATAACATCACTAAACAGTGAGATGCTGTTTCATTAGAAAGTCAGTACCAGTCATCTTTTTGCTTAACCCTCCAGGTAGTGGTAAATAGACTGTTATATATCTTGTATTTCAAGAAGTTGTCCAGATGACATCATTATCACTGTTCTCAGTATTGATGCTTACTATATAAGAATTACTATGAAAATAAAATATTGTGATCCAACTCTGACTGCAGTAGAATACCTCAGTACTCCTGGATAGACTTTGATAATGCCCCTTTCAGAGTCCTGCTCTTTGTATCGTAAGAAAATGGAGGGTCTTTTGTCTTCCGCTGTCTTCAACTGTGATCTAATGGGACTGTTCTCATCAAGTTCTCTTTCCTCTGTCAAACCAAATTTTTAATCAGTTTAAGTAATTCAACTATGTGTACATTATACCGAAAATTTAAAAGTATAGACAGTATTCAAGATTTATCCTTCTTTGCCTATTATTGTGGTACATGTATATCATGATGATCAAAAAATAAATGCTGAAAATGCATCTAACTAGTTCCCCTAGCAAATTTGATTTATTCTACCTTACTCGTAATTGCAAAAGATTTACAAATTCTGAGATACTTTAGTTGATTACATATAAAACTAGAAGTCTGCAAGACTGTAGCTCAAATGATTCATATTTATAACAGTGGAAGAAAATAGTTGCACCAGAACACTTTATTTAGATTCAAATTTACAGAATCACATATCTTGATGTTTTTAACTTGCACTGGGGGGGGGGGGGGGGGGGGGGGGGTTGAACAAACTTGCATCTATACTTACTCAGGATGCTTTTATATTTCTTTTATATTTCTTTGACTAATCATGGCTTTAGAAGATTTTTCTTATATATCACTGATCTTCTATTGTGGCCCCACCCTATCCTCTGGGTACATGATTTGAATAAACCTGAATCTACACTACCTGAGGTTGTTTCTGTATTAATATGACTAATCATGGCTTTGCTGTTCTTGAGAAGATGATTTTAAGAGATTTTTCTTACATATTCTTATGAATCAACAAACTTGAATCTACACTACCTGAAGATACTTCTATTATAATATGACTAATCATGGCTTTGCTGTTCTTGAGATTTTTACAGAAATTTTCCTATATATTTCTGTATACACTTTGATCCCCTGTTGTGGTCCTTACCCCATCCCAATGGGTTATCATTTGAACAAACTAGAATAAACACTACCTGATAATGTTTCTCTATTAATCTGACTAATCATGGCTTTACTGTTGTTGAGATTTTTAAAAACTTTTACTTCAAATTCTTATATAAAAATTTGATTGCCCATTGTGGCCTCATCCTATCCTTGGGGACATGATTTGAACTTGAATCTACACTTCCTGAGGATGCTTCCATATAATTATGACCAACCATGGCTTTTCTCTTCTGGAGAAGAAGAATTCAAAGATTTTTCCAATGTATTCCTATGCAAAAATTTGATTGCCCATTGTGACCCCCCTAACCTCCCTCCACCCCCACCCCCCACAG